AAATACGTATGCTTATTCCAAAGAAGATACCTGTTTACTTTGATCATAATAATAATACACCGAAGTTGAAAAGACATTTGTGTGAGATGTAAACACTGCGATCAAAAGATATTCGCACAGTTCAAAACACTTTTATTCATATATTGAAAGAAAACAGAATTTTAGTTAGGGACAAACCTCTGAACAAATCGTCGCTTACGCCTTTGCATCTGTGACCATCATCGTCGTGTATCATCGTCTTTTATCTGTCCGGCAAATTCTGCCGGCAAGCTATCGCTCTGACGCGTGCTCTATCAAGGTATAAGTATAGGATAACAACTTCAATTATTTCATTAGTTATATACGTTACGCGGCGGAGGAAACAACAGTCTTCACTATGCTGCGTCACGGATTTCTACTATTTCTTCTGTCACTGGCGTTCACGCAGTTCTTTGTTCTCAGCGATGCGGCACGAATACCACGAACGCCAGACGCAGCAGCCACCAAGAAATGCGGTTACGAGGTACGCAAATTAATTACTAATCAAAGCAATTAGGAATACGACGCGAAAAAATCCGGATTTGATTTTTCATTCATAAATAGATTTTGCTACTTCGCAATAAAAATTGCTTTTGTTGTAATTCATGTGTGAATAATTTGATTTATGTGGTATATATATTTTAAAGCTTAATAAATTTTTTTTTACAATTACAAGAAAAATAAGGTAGACTTCATCAATTTCAGGCGTGTCATGCCGTGGATCCGAAAAAACTTAATATTCACATGGTTCCACATACTCACGATGATGTCGGCTGGTTGAAGACTGTGGATCAGTATTATTTTGGAAGTGAGTAAATGAGATAAATCAATAACGTGGACATTGTTAGTTAAACCAGAGGATATATTTATCTATGTTTTTAAGAGAAAAAGTATAGCAAAGTAAACTATGCAATTTCTAAATATTTAAAAAGAATATATAATTTTGTATGTACAATTATAATCCTTCAGTTATACATGTACATGCAGAATCTATATTAATATAAGAATATGAAAATTATGTTACGATAATTACGATATTATTTTCTTAATAAGAATAATTTTGAGGATTATCTTTTCTATTTTTGATTATTATTTTGCCAATTTGTTACTAAATATCTATATTTTATCTTTTTTCTTAATTTGTAATAAAAGACTTTTTTTATTCATTAAGGTCGTTCTACCATTCAAAAGGCTGGCGTGCAGTATATTCTTGACAGTGTTATTAAATCATTATTAGCTGATCCAACTAGAAGGTAATTATTTTAAATAATATCTTTGATAGATGATATAATTAGAAATTTTAGCGTGATAAAGATTTGCATAAACACATTCAACACATGCTAATCAGACAGTTATGTAATACTTAAATAATATTAAATATAATATAAATAAAATAATATTAAATATAATATAATATAAATAATATTATGCCTATATTATGTTTATGATAGTTTAATGATAATAATGATAATAATCTCATCAATTCTTGTATTGTTAAGAATGTTTCAACAGATAAATTTTATATTAATCAAACATATAATTTAAATTTTACATAATCTTTATTTCCGCAGATTTATTTATGTGGAAACTGCTTTCTTCTGGAAATGGTGGTTACGGCAAGACGAACAGGTACGTGCTGACGTCAAAATGTTAATCAATGAAGGACGATTGGAATTCATCGGAGGTGCATGGAGCATGAATGACGAGGCTTGTACTCACTATCATTCATTAGTGGATCAATTCACATGGGGATTCAGGTATGTGTTGATCATATGGTGAATGAAAAAATCCTTATATAATTGAAATAAAATCAAGTTAATAAAATCATA